CCCCCCCCCCCCCCCCCCCCCCCCCCCCCCCCCCCCCATCCCACCTCAGGTGACTGGTTTACATCAGCTGTCTTCTCGCATCCCTGGGAATCAACCGGCGCGTCGCGTGATTTTCTCATTTCACGAATGTTAGCTAACTGCTCTCTCCAGTTAGCAGGTTGCCAGCCTTTCGTTTGTCCCTGTTCTACGGAAACTTCCTTTTTAGGCTTTTTCGCCGCCGCATTTTCGATTTTGTTACCGTCGCTCGCCGGGTCCTCTTGATGTCGCTTCTCACATTCGATCTTTATGTGCCTTCTTGGCTGTTTTTGTCTCGTTGACAGAGCTGAAATTGCTTCTCTCGCTGCAGAACGTGTTTGTCTTCCACTTGAGGTAAAATACGGGGAAGTGCTCATCTTGGAAATCAAGGAAAACAAACTGATCATGGGTTTTGAAAGTCCTCCACCCTGTACGCCATCTTTGTTGTTTGGTTTCGGTCTGATGACTTTTGGCGGGAATTTTACGTCACGCGCAGGAGGGTTGCTGTTCCCAGGACTGCTCGCCGTCTACAATTATCCAAAATTTCCGGAAATTTCGGTTGAAAGTCAAATGGAGCAGTCATTTTCCAGAAAATCCGTCCGGAAATAGACCTTTCCCGCGTTCCACTTCAGTGCGTAGGAACAATAGTACCAGAGCGAGGTCGGGGTGGACATTTTCATACATTTGCTGTATTTTTGTCCACCCTAGCCTCGACTTGGCGCCATTGTTTGTTGGAATGCGGGAAAGGTATATTATATACCACATCCAGAGGTACAGTCCTCTTCTTCCGTTCGGAAAGGAACGGCGGAAATTTCCATACCATCTGCTAAATTTTCTAGTTTCCAGTCTCTCATCCGCATAAAACAAACGCGGGAAATCGAATTGTAAATGGTAAGCGCCATCTCATTCCGACAAATGGTAAGTGCCCAATCACTTTTATCACCCCGACGTGAAGGAGTGACAAGCTTCTGTTTTTGCCAAATTTCATGGAATGTCGTCTCAGCTGACGAAGCCATAGGCCGAGCTGGCCAAAGTTAGACGTTATTCCACCGCACCACACTGAGCAGGTTGATAGTAGTTTATTACATGTTTTCAACAAACTGGCAACGAATCGCATTTTTACAACGAGATGAACTGACGTTATTGTTGTGTTTGCTCATTTCAGAAGTTATGGAGCGCTTTGAAAGACGTGGTCGAATACGTATATCCACCATTCTTTTTTTGTGTTAATATTATTATATCATTGTTTTTTGTCATGGGCGAAATTGGTCTAAACACGTCATGTGATGCAGTTCAAAATGGGGGATATCAGGAGCCCATGACCATGGGCTCCTGGGGTTGAGATGATGCTCCTAAAGTGATTTTCCCCAGTTTTCAAAATTTTCATTCACCTTTACGTTGTCACTGAATTGTTAAATTGAATAGCCCTAAACATTTTCAACAATATATTTCAACGCTTGCAGAAGGAAACAGATCTTCCCAAACGGAAGCTAAAAGAGAGTGGACCTTATAAAAGAAGACAAGGATAATAAACGCAATAACCCAATCTCCATGCGCGAAAATGTGCTCGGAAATTTGTCTTTGGACATTATCTGTTCCTCAAAGCTCAGAACAGATGATGTCTGCGGACAAATATCCGAGCATATTTCTCGCCAAATGGGGGCTGTTGTTGATATAATTGGTGCGATCAAGGTAAGATACTTCGTTAGCAACAAACTTTCGGCTAAACTTTATTCTCAATTTTTCATCAGTTCAAATTATTAATTCAAGTGAATAATTGATGATTTATAGTAGTCTTAGACCTATTTTGGCGCTTTAGCTGTGTGTTCGTGACTAAACAACTTTCAAAATTAATCAACGGGAAGACATATCAAACACGAAATGCCGTGTCTGACCACATTTCCAAACATCGAGAAGAGAGTTGAAAATACGACACGCAGTGGAGTGTTTTTGACGAACTTTGAGGCGTTTGGAAATGTGATCAAACACTGTCTTGAGTGTTTGATATATCTTCTCAATCGAATCTAAAACTGAGGAGAAAACGTAGAAATAAAATCGTAAAAATCTTTGCTAATTAAAAGATCAGATGTCCAAACTTCGTCGCGGTAATGATTACCTTAAACCTGATGAATTATCAATGAGTTTGAGAAAATGCCAGAAAGTCATGAAGTCTGTAGTCTGCTGAGGAAGCTTGAGGAAACATCACCGAAAGAGGTTTCCCACTTATCTATTATTGTAAAGTTCAATACCGTCGGTCTTTGACTTTATTCTTCTGTCTCGATGAAGAAAACACAATCCGGCGAACAAATGTTGAAACAAAAAGAACGTTGAATAATGCACCTCATATTATGGGACTCCTGTAAAGATGTTGTAGCCTGAAACCTAAACAAGTTATAATTGAACTAAATGTGGTGATTATGTTGAACACTAGTTTCAAGCTGATTCTATAGCTGATTATGTAATCATTGCAAACAGCTGCCGTTGAACTGTGAAAAGTATTGACAAGTAAATTTAATAACTATGCCGAGTCTGAAGGAAACCCAAGTATCATGAGGAGAATTTTATGTCTCCATTTTCAGTCTCTTTTATACTGGAAGTTAATAACTTCGGCTCAGAATTTAACAGGAGCTTCAAACCCGGGTCGACTATCATGTTTGCGATACGGAAGATTCAAACAAGCACAGAAAGGTAATGTGTAAAGTTTATGATTAATATAAATCACTTTACTCAGTGAGAGTTATACATTGTTGTTTAAAAGAAAACCTTTAAGTAAATCTAGGATTTTTCATACGTTATCAAAAAAGAAAATTATTCAGGAAGAGGCTTGAGAGAAAATAAAACTATTCAGGTTTTAAACGAATCCACTTGGGGGTGCTGATTACGGTAAAATTTTAAGCTGGAAGTACGAAAACTCCACCAAACCATCAGAAAAAAGAGCTTTCTTAGTTTTCACTTTAATATATTCTGACATCTTTCACACTAGGAATTTACATCTCGACCCTTATTTGTCTACTTGATAGGGTTAGGGTATTTTGTAATCAGTTTTCTTAGTCGAAAAAATTAATTATAACGTTTTCTTAGACAAGAATAGCCATGTTCAACATCTTTTATATTTAATACTCACAGCAAAAAATAAGCAATTCAGTACAGGGTCTTACATAGGTGATGTTGTTAGGGGGGATGTGTAAGGTTGCTAGCAATCCCCGTAATTTTCCAAATAGGAAAATATTTTAATGACAACAAATATGCCTGGATTTATGAAAACCGTGTTAAAGAAAATTTCACCCAAGTATAAGCGTTTTTCTCCAAAGTAGACGATATGAAAATTCAAAGGAATGTCCATTTTTTTCCTTCCACTCGCTTATCTTCGATTCTCAATGTGCTCTTCTCCATATTTGATTTAGTGCAAAACAGCACACTTTTATTTGACCACGTCAATCCAGTCACAAATAAAAAGAAATTAAAGATGGTTTTCCGCATAATAGAGTGTTTTCACATAACGTCTTGCAGCCATATTGCAATATTGGTGTCCCAAAACTATGAAACGGCGGCCATGTTGGTGTTCCAAACCAGTCCTGTGGGAGTTGAACTCTTTTCTCCTGCAAACACTTTCTTTATTCCAATAAATTTGCATCGCTGCTGTCCACGTGAGTGAAAACGCTCTAAAGTGACTATTTCGTGGCCTTCAACTAAACCATTGTTTATTGCTTTCTTCCGTAATTCAGGTCATGCTCTGGTTAATCATGTGATCGCTACTTATAGCGTGACTTGTCCACTGGACTGCACGTTGGAATGCCTAAGTGACACACGCTGTCAATCATTTAACTGCGCAGACGCAGGTCACACGTGTGAAATAAACGACCAATCAAAGCTGACAAGCCCTAACGATTTTAGATCCATAGAAGGCTCTATGTACTACGGTCCAACAACAGAGACGGTGAGACATTTGGACCTTAGTTCGAAATTTTAATTCTCCCCACTAACGGACATTTATTCCTTGCAATTCAAGTTATGAGAATTTGACGGTATAGTTGATCTGTAGTCAGTAATTTTGCTGGCAGGATAGGTGTTTCTGCGGGGTAGATCTTGTCGTACTTGGAGAGGAGAAATTAAAATAAAGGAATAGTTAATAATTAGCTCTTATTAACCGAGTAGGAGGTCTGTATGGTAGAATCTTGACCGAGGTCGTCAGTACAGACCGAACGCAGTGAGGTCTGTAAACACGACCGAGGTCAAGATTCTCCCATACAGACCGACTAAGTTCGGTTAATAAGATGTTTATTATATGGCGCAAACAAGAACAATTTAATTCGTTTAATGTAACTGGTTTGTAGTAGCAGACATTTTGCCTGAGAGCGGCGATGAGCTGAATTTAATTCTGCCAAAGTTTGTTCGTCCTCTTTACTTTTTTTCTCATTAGGACTTTTGGCACTTCCATAAATAAATATTGTTAGATGAAACTAGTCAATGATTTTTCATTTTACTTTGCAACTTTTTCACCGCAAAACATTACCGGTCTAGATGACGGTCTAGATGGGAAAATCTAGACCACTTTCAATATCGATTTTAGCCAATCAAATTCGTGAATTTGGTAGTTCCCAGTCCTTGTAAGACAAAGCCATATAATAAATTGTTATTTTTAAAGAGGAAGCCCCATCAGCTCTACTTGGTTTTCACATGGGTCCTCTATCCAGGGCATATTGGAATATAGAGATGTTGGTTTTTCATGAGGCAGGACACCTGGAGTATCGGGAGAAAGACCTTCGGAACCAGGCGAGAATTCGTTACAACAACGTCCGCAAACTCCTTATGAGACCGAGCTGAAGCCAGGTCACATTGGTCAGAGGCTCCTTACGCCATCCCTATGCCATCCCTTAAGTTATCTTCTTAAAAGTGTTGAAGCTAAGGAAAAAGCGCAGTTAACAAAACCGGCAGCAGAAGATCTCTCTTGTTTCCTTAGGAAGAGCATTTGAAAGAATTGCAAAGAAGCTAACATTTATGGGTGGAAAGTAATATAAAATGTTTTACTTCAAAGGTCCTTTTTAAAGAAACTATACTGAAATGCCCAGGCTTTGTCAGTTTGTGATCTCCCTTCAATCTGGACGTCATACTCGAGAAAGAAAAACAAATCCACATACTGCCTGTCTTGTCCAACTAGTAATTTTCTTTTCCTGTCAGGGAGGTACTGGACCTGGCTGTGCCTCAGTAACATGTCAGAACGGTGGAACATGCGTTGACTCGTGCTGGAATTCCCGGATGTTTACGTGTGACTGCACCAAAGACTACACAGGAGCTTACTGCGAAAGGCACGGTGGGTAATTCCTTTGACTCTTGATGTTGCATACACGCAGAGACTATTGGAGAGTCACAATGAAATATTACAGTGTTGAAAAGGAAGACGATCAGAATGGTTAATTCCCTCTATGAGACGTGCCTGCAGGGAATCATGGTAGTTGTATTCATCAAAACAAATATCCAGTCCAAGATGATGAATACAGCTACCATGATTCCCTGCAGGCACACCTCCCAGAGGGAATTGCCCATTTTTCGCATGATCTATGAGCAATATTCGGAAGTTTCAGTGCTGCGCATTTACGATTTTCCTCTTTGTCAAAACAAGACTCCATGCAAACCTTTCTCTCCAAAAATGAGCTTTAGATTTGCCTCCTTAGAGTGCCAGCATTTCACTCATCTGCTCTAATCATACGGTGAGAAAATCGCATGATTTGGAAAGTTATTATAGAGCTGTAGGTTCCCTATAAAAAGAACGTCAACCCAGGCGTTCACATTGTAAGACTGGTGTAATCATACTTTACCCAAGAGGATAAGTCAACTCAAAATTGACCCATGAGAGTTCCCCATTGGCAGAATGCTTGCAAAACAACTAACATTAGAATTGTAGTCCATGAACTACGAAAATCACCAAACAGTGGAATGGGCTCGAATTCTTGTCCAGCGGCCACTCGCACTTTCTTTTACTGACCTCCTGTAGCAGTTAGTAGTAAACATTTCGATGTAAAAGTAGAGAAATGGCGCGCAATACGTCCAAGTGCTACTTTTCTACGTGACAAAAATGAGTTTCGTGGACTTTTATCTTACAGCGGGAGAGGCTGAATTTTTGCACAAAACACATGTTTCTCTTCCAACAGTGAAAAGCTGTCAGGAACATAAAAGCCTGGGAGCAGATCAGGACGGAATCTACACTATCGACCCCGACGGGCAAGGAATCATAAGCGTGTTTTGTGACCAGACCACAGACGGTGGGGGTTGGACTGTTTTCCAGAGGCGCAGCGCTCCATACAGCAATAGTTTTGACCGATTGTGGCACCTCTACCGAGATGGTTTTGGTGACTTGACTGAGGAATTCTGGCTTGGTAACAAATACTTGCACCGAATCGCTCCGTCAGGGAGCTTACTTCGTATAGAACTACACAGAGCGGACGGCCAAACAGGATATGCCAAGTTTGGCGGGTTTCAAGTTGCCAACGAAACGGATCTGTTTCGGTGGGATATGAATTCGTGCGAGGGGAACATCCCGAATGCAATTTACGGGAATTCGGATCCTAACTTGAATATTCGGGGAATGGCATTTTCCACTCCAGATAATAATAACGATAATTGTCCTTCCTGTAGATGTTTCGGGCATGCTGGATGGTGGGCCAACTACTGTGCAAAGGTCTCCCTTAATTCGAGAGGCAGACCAAACTGGAAACCTTGGTCTGAGGAAAGCTCCATAACTTTCTCCGAGATGAAAGTCAGGAAGAACTGATATCAACAATAACTAGCTTTATTTGCATGACCATGAATACATACAGTGTAGCAAAAGCTTATGTTAACTAAAACTAAGTGTCATTTTAGATCAAGGCCCCATTAGGGGTCTGACTATTCCGTATAAAAATAAGGGGAATGCTCGAGGGGAATGCTGATAAACATTGGGGAATATTGAGCATTTGAGGTCGAGGGGAAACAAAGCTCACTGTTTCCCTCCCAACTCAAAACTAAAAAGAAAAGTGCAAAAAACCGTTTGCTTGACGCGCGGATTAAAAGAGCACGACTTGATCACGTGAGAGTCGAAAGATCAAGTTGTTGTTTCCCTAGGGAGTTCGTAAATTTTGACCAGCGACACGTGACACGTTCTCCTGCAATTGGAAAATGTATTTGAGTTGGGAGGTATAACAATTCCTTCTGTGAGGTATGCCCCCAGGGAATCATGGTAGCTCTAGATCTATTGCTGGTTTTCAGTGTCACGCAATTCAAAATAGATCAAAATAAAAATCAAAACCGTCAATAGATAAAGTCCAGAATCTGGGAAATGAAAGAAGGTAAATATGCAAAGACTCTCGCCAAAATTNGTGAATTTATCCCTCGAGAAACTCTAAAACATTAAAATAATAATTTTTCTAAGACATGAACTGTTCAGATAGCCAAGTTCCCCGAAGTAAGTCACTTTTTTTAACCATCATGACAGCTCTCTAGGCCGTCATGTAAATGCCGCGTCACGCAAAAACTTAGGAATTCAACTGTAATGTATCACAAAACCAAGAACCCATTCGGAGCGAAAATATGTATGAATATTAGTTTTCAGCTGCTCTTATACATCATTCAAGTAAAATCTCAGGAAGATCAATAGTTTTGTAGTTCGAATTTTGGTGACGTCAAGTGAAAACCAGCTATTGTAGTTAGTTGCCTGGATATTTGCCATAGGCATATTTTAGTTGATTTCGGCAATAACAGATACTGATCAAGAAGTACAAAAAAATAATGATTTTCACCATGTTTGATAATCCTTCGTTTCAAGGACAATATATAACTTTGTACGGTTAGATTTAACCTCAGTTTCACATAGTAGAACGATCACTAATCCGCCGTAGGCCCGGGGGGGGGGGACACTGCCATATATGGGCTATATAGGTATGTGCCGCTGTGAAGTATGGTTTTCAAGCAGTTTACTCTAGGATAGGGTATATAAATCAGAGCGTTTGGGTCTAGAATAGGGTATCATTTTTCACAAAACTGACTAGTTGGTTGAAGATTTTATCTAGACCAAGGAAACCAGGAATTGCCTCTCAAAAATATAATTAAAAAAATCAAACCGGAAAGCTTAAATTTACGCAAATCAGCCTCAACAGTGTCGATAGATGGGGGGATTTGGGGAGTTTACTCTAGTATAGGGTAGCAAAATTCAGCCGAACTAGCTCTGGTATAGGCTAGGGGTTCCAGGGTCCCAGCGGCACATCCCCACCCAGAAATTCTCAAAGTACCTCCCCCGGGGCCGTAGGTAAAAAGATGGCGACTGGTACATTTACCCATGAGTCTTAGCGCACGGAAACTTAGACAACGCTCATAAAAACGCAAAGAAACGTTCTAAAACCTTCAAACCTAGAATACACAATGTGGCTAGCACAAGGAAAAATACTGCAAAAATGTAGCTTTTTTTTTGTATTTTACGGGCTGTATTAGGCTCGCATGGTATATTGTGGTAAAATGTACAGCCGCCATCTTTTTACCTATGGAGGATTCCTTTCAATATATGTGCAATTTGTTCAATTTTTTTTTTCCTGAGTTAGATTGGTTCACATTTACTGTGTGGTACACCTTTTATCTAAAAGTAACAACACCCCTTTTCAAAAGGGAGGCGACCTTCTGAAGGTAGCAAGTTAATTTCTTGACAACTACTTCCCTGTTTATATATGGCTCTTTTTGAGAAGGTACAGCTGAAAGCGGTTCATTCAGGGGCTTCTTATTTCTTAGGTCCGGTTTAACCGCCGAATTCAGTTCATTCGCCAAACTAGATTTCAGTTTCGGGCTATAAAAATTATTGCCAAGAGCCCGTTTCTCGAAGGTCCCGAAAAGTTTTCACACCCGGAAAGCCATAGCAAAAACTCAAACCTTATGATTACAGAGCTGTTTCATTCACATATTCTTAATATGGAGAGGTTCTCTTCATACAAGAAGTTTCAGGCGTGTACACCTCGCGGCCCGAAAAGTTTCTGGGACTTTCGAGAAACGGGCCCCAGAACCCGTGAAGGTCCCGAAATATTTTCGCACCCGGTAAGCCGTGGCAAAATCTCAAATCTTCTGATTACACAGCTGTTTTATTCACATTTTCTTAATACGAAAGGAGGCTCCCTTCATACAACAAGTTTCCAGCGTATACACCTCTCTGTTTTTAGATACAGATTAACTAAGAATGGCTTTGCAGACCAGAAAAGTTTCCGGGGCTCTCGAGAAACGGATCCCTGGGCCGTTCTCAATTGAGACGCCAGACTTTCTGGCCGAGAGAGAGTGAAGGATAACAAGGTTAATGTCAGATGTACATTTCTAATAACGTAAGGCTTTGCAAAACAATTTAGAACGAAAAGGAGCGGTATGAAGATCATGTACAGTAAAATAAAATACCGGTACCACCAAAACAATTTTCAATCCCTAGTACGTATGACTGGCTTCCCCGTCTATAACACACAGAAATCGTTTTCTTTGCAAGCAAAACAATCGACCTCGCGCATGTCGTGTTAAGGATAGCCTGATGCTACTATGTAATTGCCCCATTCTCGACCCTAGAGCTGTTCTCTTTTGCGCATGACTGATGGCATCTTGCTTGTCAAATTGACGTAAGTTTTTTATGCGTCTCTCCTGTTATTGATCACGAATTTCGTCATAACATTGTCAAAGTAGGTGGGGATTTACGAGCAACCTCGTTCCCAGGGTCCTCTCTCTCCTTCTAGGACACTGGGAACGAGGTTGATTCACGGGGCGGGTTTGACAATGTTATGAGGAAATTCATTGTCAATAACAGGACAGACGCATAAAAAAGTGACGTCAATTCGTTATTTACAGCAACAAATTGTCAAATTGGGCGCTCTCGCTCGTTGACACGTCGCCTAAATTATGAAAATTCATGTTCTGTCCGCTTACTGACAATGAAAATTAGCCAATGAGCGTGCGAGAATTCCCGCAGTTACAGTAAAAAATACAATTGCCCAAGTGTGTACTGATACCTTTCTTTTCCACCTTCAGTTGCGGAAATTGTGTTCGCCTATGCGCCATTTTCGCAAAAATTCTTAGTTAGAACGAGTGCAAGATTTGACAACCACTGAGTTCTCCGCGAGCGAACCTTACTTTAGGTCACCAGTTTTCATAGAAATATAGATACTATTTATGTCACTGCTTTTTGTATTACCTTCCTCCCTTAGTGGTTTACACCCCAAGTGAAATACTTCCGTTGTATATTGTAACCCAAGTGAATTCACCATGTATAAAAAAAATTTTCAAAAGTTTTTCTAGCGATGGGTGGGGGAGGGGAAAAAAGGGGTAACATCAAGTGTTAATCACAGCTTAAATTGCACATCTTCTCTCATAGCCTTTTCCCATTTACCGACTGGCTATGAGTACTCAGTAAGAAGTGAATAACGCGTGACAATAAAGAGCTCTACCTGGGAACTGCCAATAGCGTAACAGGACTCAGGTTGGACAAGCGGCAAGATGATAAAACTTAAACGGTGGCGGCAACAAATGGAAATAAGGCAACGAACCCATCAGATCTAGAAGCATAAGAACGCAACCGGTGCCAAGCGCGGGAAAACGTGCGTAAGTCATAGGCAGGGCTCCTGATTGGCTGAATAAACAGCAACGAGGGATTTTTGTTCAAACCTCCACTTCAGCTGAAATACTGAAAACTGTAGAACCTAAAATAGTTTATTTTAATTTCATTTCGAAACAACGTATAAAAGAAAAAAAAAAACGAAAGCATAGTCAAAACACGAAGGAGAGTTCAAGAACTGTCGGTCGCTTTGAACAATTTCCAAGACGTTCTCTAATAAGTAACTACGAACAAAAAAGACAAAATAGCAACCAACAGAATCTTAGAAATACAGACAACGCATATATCCTTCCTGTAATAAAATAAATTGCTTGCGTTTCAGTCAGCTTGCGATCTTCTCCTCCATAAGACTACGTTAAATTACGCAAACCAGCTTATATTTAGTTTCATTTTCAAATACGACAACTATAGCACTGTACGAGTGTCTTTAGTTGATCGGCGTCGTCGTATGGAAGACACAGTCATTAGAGCGAATGGTTGAAGCGGAGTCCGAGAAGATTCATCACTCGCGGTTCAGTTTCGCAGAAACCTCGGGACACAGTCGCCTGCCGTAAGCCGTCTTGCAGAATCATTGTCCCTAGTTCGGAGACAATTTATTTCAGCGTGATAGTGCAAGGGTCACTAAATGGTCCAAGTCGTCCCAATTCGTCCGTCCCTCGTACCGCGAAGTGATACTTATTGCCGGGTAGAAACTGAGTTAGCGTGCACGCCATAGGAAGAGGCAGCGCCTTGACGACTCCTATCTTCTTCCACTGGTGAGGGTTCTCTGTGGTACCTCCGTCCTGCAGCGCAAAGAGTTGGTAGTTCATCACGGGTGCGTGCTTGTCCTCCAAAGGCATGTTCCATGACAACACGATGCCGCTTGTCACCACAGCTATGGACACGCTGGGTTTTGGAGGAGCTTCTTTTCCGCGCAGCGTCGGAGAGGGGATATGAGGGGGTTGTCCTGCACCTGGTGGCAGACCTGGCGCGGACGGCTGCGGGGATCTTAATGGTACCTGTGCGAAACCAGGTTGTGCGACAGAAGGTGGAGCTGAAGCAACTTGTCTCGGGGGTCCAGCCCCTTGTTGGTAATGTACCATACCGGGTTGTTGTTGGGCTTGGGCAACTCCATGCTGGTTCATCGTGTTGGGAGGAGAGCGCATCTGCACAGGTGCGCCTGGTCGTATCGGGACAGGATGGTGTGGTCGTGGGGCGGGCTGGTGTTCTGGACGAAGAGGCTGTTGAAGCACGTGCTGCGGTGGCGACGGCTGCATAGGTGACTGCGGATATGCAGCGGGTCTGGGGCCAGCTGAGATCTGAGGGGGGCCACCCTGGGAAATTTGTGGTCTTTGTTGAGGTCTCTGACTCATCTGTGGAGCAACGGAGAATCTCGGACCAGGCTGCCCGTTGTGATAAGCATTTTGTGAACTGTACCCGTATGCCGGTGACTCTTGCGGAACCCTCACACAGGTAGAACTAGATGAAGTTTGTGGATGAACTGTTACAGTAGGTAAAGGCCGGCTGGATGCCGGAGCAACGTTTCTTGCTCCAGCAAGGCTGCTAACGGGCCCCTGTACTCTTGACATTGGCCTGGGAGGTTGAACAGCTGGCGGGGCGTTCCTTACGCCGTTAAACCGAGGGTGAGCCGAAGGAGGGAAGTTCGGCGTTGGAGTAGCAGCCTTTAGCATTGCTGGTTGGCTCGGTGTTGGTCTCGCCGCTGATCCAGGGTCATAATTGGGAACATACGTCGCGCCTGTTGCGACAGATGCCTGTGCATGAGGTGGAGTGTTGGACGAAACTGGAAAGCGGGGATGCAGAGCCTCAGGCTGTTGCCGTTGCGCTGCATGACGGAAGTTTACTGGAGAGGATTGCGACACACCTTCAAGTCGAGAGGGCATGGTATGGCCCGGTAGGGGTGCTACAGTGGAGGTGAGCCGTGGTGTGGGTGTAGTCATAACGTTGACGCCGGGAGCCGAAGGCCTGGTAGCTGTTACACTACCCGGGGAAGACGTGGATGCTACAGTCTTTGTGCGCACTTGAGGGTTGAACTAGAAGAAAATTGAAAGCTCTCTATTAGTCAAGAGCGAGTGTTTTCAACATATTTCAGGATTGTTTAAGCAGTGAAAGTTTGGGAGAACTCGAAAAAGCGTTGGGAACACGAGTCAACAGACCGGTGTTTTCACAGCATTTCTCCTTCTCACAAACTTCCACTCGTGCATCTCTAATACGATAGAAACACGGCAAATGTTTTCATTACTAAATCATTTAAGTCTCTGCACCTAGAAAACATCATTCAATTCATGATCAATGTATGACCACCTCTGGGACAGTTGCCCGTTGCGTAGAATATAACTACCATGAATGGACGCTAGACTGCAAAGAGTTCTACAGAAGGAACTGGCATAACACAACTTTTTCATAATATGCTCAATTTTCGCCTTTTACTTACTTTAAAAATTATTGAAAATTTCTTAGGTCTCTCCATGCGAAAACTCGTCTTATAAATACACTAATATGACAAAACCCGAAGTGTGAGATGACTCTTGCGTTCTTGAGTCCAGATAAGACTCAGTGGTACTGAGCAACTTTTCACCAACAGGTTACACGATCTCAAACTTACCCAGCTGGGATCTTGAGTTTGAACTGCTTGCGTTACTTTCAGCTTTGCTTTCTCCTTCTCAGCATTTAAGATGTTTTTCACCGAATCCTCGACTCTCTTGGCGTATTCTTTAAGAGCTTTGTTCTCCTTCTCTAGTGAAACCAATCTGTCCACGAGCTTGTCGTTCGGTTTGCCATTACCCATTGAACGCTCGATTTGAGCCATTCTCTCTTCGATCATTTTCTTTAGCATCTATAAGATAAGGAGTGTGCATAAAAAGATAAGCTACGAGCAGCCTCTATTTTTATCAGTCTATCGAGCGTGACAGGAAAGACAAGGCAAGATAAAAGACCGTGCACGCGAGGAAATTCACGCGACCATTTTTCGTCTAGCGCGTTCTCCCGTGTCAAACCGGACTAGGAAAATAGAGGGACTGCTAGTAGTGTAATCTAAAAGGCGCTGATGGTTTCATGAAAATAGAGAAAAATCGACTGGTTTGCACACACGATCGGTGTTTGACTCTTCCAATAATGGTGGACTGTAAACAGTTCCTCTTTTCTCCAAGTTCGTCAGGTGGGAAGCTTGAAAAAGCGAGAGCGAAGGACTTCTCGCTCGACGAACAAAAGGACAGAGGAATAGTTTGTAGTATATACCTATTGAGTTTCATTTCAAAATGTCAATCTCTCAGGAAAACCGAGAAAACGATTTCCTGCCAGCTCCAATTTTTCCTCCCTCCAGAAAAACCAACACTTCTAAATTCTAATTCGAAATGGAAACAGTGGAAGAAAAGCCTCTCCGTGGGACGTGCCACTGCTAATTCCTATTTATTTTATATATTTATTTTATGATGTGAAGTTTATATGAAAAAATTATTTCATATAAACTTCACATCATTTCACTCCTTACGGGAAGATATGAACTCAATTAAGTGGCCTCGCTCCCAATGTGTGGCTTCATAGCTCAGTTGGTAGAGCNTGAAGCCCTGATTTTTTTCAGGCTTCTTCTTTCCAATTGCTCAAATTGGAAAATTTACTGCGATGATCATTCTTCACTTTCATATTTATTTTATGTTCAGAGATGATTTGTTTTTTGTTTAACGGAGAGAGGCAGTGAAAGAAGTGATCTACGAAAAGAAAACAGGCGGTCCGCGACCATTTGAGAGGGTACACGGCAGGCGATGTTAACACAAGCGGTACGAATTCCTTTACTTGTTTACATTTCTTCTTTAGCGCACACTCGATGCATGACGTGGCGTGACATTGCAAGTTACGTGAGTTACGTTTGCAGCAAAGATATGCGCGGAAACAATGAGCGCGAACGACCTTAAAAAAAAGGTTTTGACTCTGAGAACAAAGAAAAAGCCATCGTAGTTGAGAGTGTTGGCCGCCTAAACATAGCCTTTGCAAGAATACTGTTAAAAGAAGAACTATAATGTGGTTGGCCTTACTTGTCGAAATTCATCTGAATTAAAGTTGAAGCGATCACTCTGGGAAACGTTCACTCTGGGAACCAGGTCTGATAAGGCCGGTGAGTTTCGCTCCTTGGTGGAAACATTCACATGATCTTTATTGCCAGCCGATGAGCCGACTGGGCCATTTACATGGAGGGCAGTTGAATCCAAAGGACGCGCTTGATCACCTTCTTCTAAAACTTCAACTGAAGAAAAGTCCTGCTCTGAAGTTCTCGAATCTGAACAGACTCCGTTAGAAAGTGTTTTACTGGAAGATTCTTCGAACCGTTTAATAAGACTACTACACGCCTTTTGACGATCACTAGAGTTCAGTTCGGCAGTCTCATTGACACTACTTGCCATCTCATTTGGTTTACTAGACCGTGGGGGCGTGGACAACACATTGAAATCCATTGGTTGAGGTGAACGAGCCGGCGATGAACCAGCGGACGATATGATAAAGTCAGGACTTCGTGGTTCCTTCGAAGAGTTTTTTTCTGGAGTAACAACCTTCTTGGCCCCTGTGCTGAGCGGTAATTTGCTGCCGTTAGGTTTGGGTGCAGGCAAAAAGTTCTTCTTCTGACATGCTTTTGTAATTTGACGGAGTCGCTCTAGCCCGGTCGTATTAAACTGGAGATGGGATTGAGCCCTACTGGTTGCTGCATCACTCGTTCGAACAGACGTTTCTCCGTTAGTCAAGTGGTTTTCCGCTGAAGTAAAATAGTAAATGTAAACGCTTAATAAGAAATAAAAATAAAATAAACCAGGAAGTAAAACTACTTCGGCATGCATATTGCCTGGTATAAAATAACCTCATTCACCTCAATTTACACCAATTTTGAATTTGCACTGAGTGCAAATTAAAGGAGCTACGTCATGGTGTGTGCATCTTGAAGAGTTTAGTTTTTCTATCTTAGTAAACTAATATTGTTAGATTTCCTTCAATGAAAGACAATTTTGTACGTGGCCAAAATAACTCAAAATGTAGTGACGGTAATTTTCACAGTCATCTACTAAATAGGTAATCGTATGAATATTTGAATGTACTCGCGTTTTGAGAGAATCTTCACACGTCAGTCGTAGAGAACATCCTTAATTCCATTCGCATTCATACGTATGGGCTATTGACCAAGTGTGAGGTCNCGAGCGGGCAAGATAGCTCCATCTTGCCCGCTCGGGTAGCCAATCACAGCGCAGGATTTGATTCATCTTGCCCGCTCACGGAGCTGGCCATATAATAAGATTACTTATACAAATACGTTCCATCTTGCAAATGAAACGAAAAAATTACAGCCTTGAACTTTTTTCAAACGCTTAAGGTTTGCTCTTGTTGTCGTATAGCCCATGTTGTATTAACTTGCTTGCAAAGGAAATAAGTATAAATCCACAGCCCAAAATTGGGGATTTTGAAGGAATGTCGAGTTCTATTAAAGAATTCTCATTACAAGGCTTGAGACATGACATTTACTGTAATAAGAGGTAAACCTAGCAATACTGCAACACGCTAGAACAGAATTCCGTTTCAACGAATAAACTGGCACATTCATTGACTGGACTTTGCCACGTACACATGTATAACAAATATCGGACGTAGTTCTGCCGCTGCATGTCAGCAAGTTCTACCAGGGTTGCACTGAACAGGGCTACGTTAAGGTAACAATAACATTTATTATTTATAGTGCGCTTTTTCTATAAAAATAAAGTAAAGGAACCCTCTTATGAGCAGCGCAATGATTTAAAATCAAGGCTAACTGAGTAAACCGTAAGTGCAGCGACTCTCAAAAGCTTTAAATTTTATTTGTCGCAATGAAGTAGTTGTTGTTGCTTTGGTGCCAGGTTTCTGTTGTTTGTTCTATTGTTCTCTCAAAGAGAATCAAGAAATTCATGTGAGACCTTACCAGAGCTGCCTCCGACACCAGGGGCCCGTTTCTCGAAAGCCCCGGAAACTTTTCGGGCCCGAAAAGCCATTTTTAGTCCATCTGTATCTAAAAATGGAGAAGTGTATACGCCTGAAACTTCTTGTACAAAGGGAACTTCTCTTCATACTAAGAATATGTGAATAAAACAGTTCTGTAATCGTAAGGTTCGAGATTTTGCTATGGCTTTACGGGCCCGAAAAGGTTTCCGGAGCTTTCGAGAAACGGGTCCCAGACCCGAATATTCATCCCATTGTAACTGAATATGTATCACATGCTACAAGCGTGCACGCCTCGTGATCAACATGTGCAGTGCGTCAATAAGGGTCAATATGCAAAAAAGTGTCTAGCGTCGCAGACAAACAAAGGAAGATAAATATTCACTCAAACACGTTGATATTTAAAAAAACAACCTGTTACGAATATAGTGAAATTTTCGGACGATGTGGTCAACTGGGAAATGTAGTTAGGGCGCTAAAATGTACAACACCCATTCCCCGCTTGCTGTTATTCACTTTTGTTAATATATTATTCAAATTTGAACGGGTCCTTCAATATCACTAATAGAAAACTGAAATAGTATTCAAATGAATCCACTGAATGATTGATTGGCTATATTGTTTTGTTTACATTCCTAAAATATGTCACGCCTTCGATAGTAGCCTAATAAATAAAAGCTCGTCTGGTTTTTACATGCGGCAGCTTTGTTCTAAGCTATCTATATTAATAAGAGTCGCCTGATATTAAACTGAAAGGATTAAAACGAAATGAATTAACATAAAATTATGTAATACAATGCACCCGCCGGTTACAGAGCAAAGCAACGGAAGCGACCATCTTCCGTGACGGAAGTGCAATTTTTACTACCTTTCTAATCGCTTCTGAACGTAAGAGGCACGAAAATGAACAGCACTATATCTGATTGAGGATTTGAGGCATAGCATAAGATATCATAATTAAAGCAAAATGAAATCTTTTCGGGAAATCATTTGAAATATGTTTCTGCACGTAGAAGTTAGAGGGAACAGGAAAATCGCTCGATAGAACCCTCCCCCTCCCCCCTATGCAAGACGAGGAGAACTAAATATAACGGCCCTGAAAACGGGCTTAATTTGCTTTCTCTCAAATGGTGAACCCAAATGAGATTAACCAGACTGGACAGAAAAACCTCGGCCAAATTGAGTCCTTCTTTTCACTTTGATATTTGTAACGGATGTCCTCGACTTTGATCCGAGGCGGATCGGACAATAATTCAACGGAACACACGCTGTCTTGTGTAAATAGAGCGGTTCTCACTTGTGTCGAAAGTAATTCGCGTTTTTATTTGATTTTGCACTGCAACGGTAAGCGATTGGCTTAAAAATCTTGCGCCTCTGAGTCATCCAATGAGAAGTTAAACCAAAACTAATCGTGACTCGCTCATACACGCTTTCGCATCAGCTACAGTTGTTTTGATTGGTTCGCTGGATTGTATGTGTCCTATGTTATTGGGTAGACTGAGTATTTACTTTGGTTTCGAATTTACGGCACTATACTGACACCAACTCTATAACATGTAGAGGTTTTAAACCCTTGAAGACAGCTTTTAATTAAAGGAGATCTGTCACAGTGTTTCGAGTTATTTTGGCCACGAACAAAATTACATTTAAATTGAAGAAAACCTGAAAATAATAGTTTACTTGGATAAGAAAAACACTAAAGGAAAAATAGTGATAATCCATAAAAAAGTTGGATGGTTAAGGATGGAGAACATTAACACAGATTACACACGACGAAATTAAAAGATTTAGGCTAAACTTTTCAAGATGCACAAATAGTGACGTAGCTACTTGAGGAAAGAACCAATAAAGGCAACTATCTGGACCAAAGGAAGCACCAAGACAAATTAATCGGCTTTTTTCAGGCTCAGTTAAGGACAAAGGATCTTGCAATCACAGTACTTTTATTCAGTGACACTGCACAAGACTACGGGCTTTTTAAGGAAATGCAGACTTGGTAAGCAGTATATCTTTCATTATTTTAATTTGCAACATAAGGTAACTCGAAGAAATCAGCAGAAAAACTACTCTGTATATCCGAGATTAAATAAAGTTAATGTATGTAAGGATATTAGAAAGGTGTTTTTCATGACACGTAAGACAAAAAGTTCATGTTGAACTAACAATGTTTCAACCACTCACTTGAAGGCCCACCTCCACCTTCTAGTTTCCTATAGATGAAAAAAAAAAAAGTAACGGTTAAGTCAAGGATCAAAAGAAACGGCAAGAACGAAAACACATCAACTGACGAACAGTATGGTACATGGTTACCCGTTACCAGTCGCTTACCGCTTCTTATTCGGTGCTTCTATATCCTCCATAACTCCATAAATCCCCAGGGCAAGTCTCCTATTGTTCAGGAAGTATCACCATACAAAGGACAAGGAAGAAATGAACGATAACAGATCAGCACTGTTGGTATACCCCAATTAAGCCTTGTTCACAGTGGCGACAAAACGACGTAAACATAACGACATAAGAAGGACGTTATGTCTTTATTTTTGCAGTGTGAACATCCTGACACAATGACTTAATAGCAACACAACAGCATGAACATAACGACATGACGAAAAGAAATGATATTTTTTCGTTGTCTTTATGTCGATCTTCACATCACTGACATAAGCAATTATATTGTTATGTTATAATGTAGTTCTTTCGCTAGTGTGAACCAGGCCTTACAGATCGGCAGTGCTGATATACATATATAAATATAGGTGTCCCCAGTTAGTAGAGAGCTCCACCCTCGCCTATACTGAATCACTGACACATAAATAAAGTCATTACTATTATGTAAAGGAATCCATGTGGAATAACACATTGCTGGAGAATTTTATTGACACTTTACTTTGCATTTAATTGCTGGTTCTACTAATTCAATAGTCATGTTGCAAACCACTGCAATTACAAGAACAGCGCAAGCAGGTTTCTCTTGTAAAAACATTGCTGAAGAGGTTACTGAAAGGATTACAGTGTAAAGTACTTCTAAGAAGGATAATCTGACTAATTAAATTTTCATTTACATAAAAACAGAAACTATAGGTAATTTTCACTTAATTATACATACGTTTATTGCAGAAGTTTATGATAAAACACAACCTTAGACAAGCTAGAAAAGTGAACATTGAATACATCCACGCAGTAACGAAAAGTGTTAAAGGTATTGAAGCTAGTAGAAGAACAAACAACACAGGCTTTATCGACCAGTGTTGACCAAATGTTCTATGAAAAGCTAAAGTGAAAGCGAAAGTAAATACATGTATATACAACTCTTGGACATGACCATATTAAAATTTTAGCGCGCTTGAATCTTAAATAAACAAGAGTGTTAACATTCAATTCTTATGCAAATGCAAGACGTTTTTACACAATGGGACAGTCTTATGAAAATCTCAAGTTTCACGTCACGTGAGCCAAATTATATTCTCAAGTTGAAAGGGCAGCAGATTTTCTGCACAAACACACATTTTTTTATTCACATGGTTTCACATTGAGTTTATTCGCGTGATAGAAGCATACAATTACGTGATACATACTTCGAGAGACGTGATTTAACATCAGAGGGAAACCATGCACGGTAGATTAAGAAACAGAAGATGCCGACATACATACAATTACCTGATCAAGATTCTGCCGCCAGATTCGCTATATTTAACCGGCGTTTGTACGCATTTGACATTTGATCGTCCAACAGGTACCGAACACGAGTGTGCAATGCGATTCACGCAATGTCCGTGAAAACAAGGCCTACCAAACTAACCGCTTTGAAGTTAGCCTTCAACTTTATCTTCTTCGCGAGTATGAATAAACACGCCGCTTTCTAAGCTTCTCATTGGTTTGTTCACTCGGCCGGAAAAACCAAATGGGTTATTCATTCACGAAGAGTGAGATTCCCATGGGATCATTTACATTTCACAAGCGGCCTTCGACCTACGAAACAAATATGGCGGCCAGCGAAGTGTCGCGAAATTGAAGCAGACTTTTGATCGAAAACCGGTACTTTTGTGGCCCATATTGCCTTATCAACAACTTTTTAGGTTTCTTCTCGCTTAAAGGATGGTTCTTTCATTCATGATGACCTCTATAATGTAACGAGGAGAGTGAAACAACGAGGTTTTTTTCGTAAACTGGAAAATGCTTTACTTGGCTCCCAAGCGAAAGTCATTATCCAGTTGCATATGAAAGCTTGGCAGCTCTTCCCGCTGGTCAACGGAAGACCGTGTTGCTCAAAATGGTCACAACTGAGATGTCTATATATTCTGCTACAATTGAAAAGCGATGTTCCTAAACTAAAACAAGCCACACATTTCAAAACATCAACAAAACCGGCATCACTAAAAAGTAAGACTATATGACTGTCCTAACATTCATTAACACAAATTGAGCACGAGGTTTTCCACGTGAAAACACTCCTCTAATTTTATGGATTTACTTACCTGTTTAGTTTAGTAAACACGAACATTGGATACTAGTTAGCTTACCTTTAAAAATCTTCGCACGTCAGCTCGAATCATGTAACGGTCGATGGATTTGAAGCGATAAGTATTTGAAAGTATAAAGACCCGAATCAATGAGCTGTGAATTCAAGTGCTGTGATGATTGCTCAAACTTTAAATAAAATAGTTTCCCTTTTAAAACAATAGTTTCGGCAAGCAAACTTTCACGTAATATTCATACACTACAATGCTCGCAGTTTATGCCGGAGTCACAGTCACAGTCCGCATGCGTCAGATGAATGCTAAAAATAGATTGGGCGGCACAGGTCACGTGATAAACGACTCAGCCAATCATTTGGCAGATCGTTTACGAAAAGCTTCGCTTATGTAGATGAGTGGTTTTGGAAACCGAGTCAAGGTTATATAGCAACGGGTGACCATAGGGAACTGCATAGAAGAAGCCCAAGGAAACTAATAACCCAGGACTGTTGAGAAAGACTGAGAAAGACTGAGTTTCCTCTGAGTGCATGTGTTTGGGTTTTCCAATTCTTATGGCATCAAACAACAGTTAATCTTCAACGGTTAATACTCACTGTTACACATTCACTGACTGCTCGATCTCAATCATGCATTTATAGAAGTTCTCATTCATGACTTCTCAAGATGTGACAATCTAATGACTTCGCGGGAATGACATGTAATGACAAGTCGAGACAAAGATTTGAATGACACTCGACCATCACAAACCATCTGTCGATCGCCCTGGCTGTTACATATTTTGTAAAAATATGTTGGATAGGCCGCTGTGAACAAAATTCGTGATCGCGAATCACATATCATATAGGAACATCCCGGGTCAAATTGACGCAGCATTTCGAAGCAATAAAAGCTGCCGCGGGTGCCTTACCTGTTACAATTAGTTTAGCAGACAGTATTGTCTATAACCACCAATTCAATGAAGATAACGGTAGAAAGGAGGGTAAACCTACACCGAAAAATTGATACATTTCCAATTTCATGAATATCAGTCGAACTTACTAGAAAGCGAAGCTTTCGAGCTATTCTGAAAACAAAAGTAATAAATCACATCGAGACCGAGGAAAGAGTATGTGAATTTCCTTTGATTTAACTTCCCGATATCTGTGACGTGGCTTTACATGGAAGCATGGCTTCTGTCTGCTGTCAAAACAAAGCCAGTGATTTGAATAACAGTAAGGCGTCAATCATGTATTCGCGAACAACACGTGTTTCCTAGTAACGGAAATTGTCTAATGTTTGCACTATAGAAGCTTTTTGTAATATCGATAAGGAAATACCTAAATTGTAATGTTATGAGTTTTCAAGGACCCCATTGGCTGTAGCTGTCCCCGGGGAGATTTAGAAGACCTGATGTTTGCACTATAAAAGCTTTTATAATATCGACAAGAAAATATCTGTTATGAGTTTTCAAGGACCTTTTATACGCCACCTCGAATGTGAACCTTGCATTTCCGCAAGTCTCAGTACATTCGACTTCTGCCGCTCAAAAAGAGTTCCCAACCACCCCCTCCCCTAAAGCCGCTTCAGTGCCACGGGTTAATTCGCATCCTTCAATTTATTCTATGCCTTATGCAACATTTTTTCATCCACAACTTATCCCCCTTAAGAGATAAAGAGGGTATTTCGTGAATGTGAATTAATTAATATTTATCTTCCTATTGAGTCACAGTGACAAAATACACAATCCTAACTGTCAAAGCTATTCTTTGAGTACCCAAGGCGCAAGCGAGGGGTTCATATATATATGCAAGGAATTAAGAGTTCTCAAATACTCTTTCGAATGCTTGTACGCATCAGGTTATGTGAAAACAAATTGGCTATTTCCTTGTCAAATTAATTATGGTTAGTAGTTTAACATGACGTAAAGAATCACCTGCAGTCAGACCAAAGTACAACAGGTATCCAAGTCAGAAATGGCGTTCAATGATAACCAAATTTTGTCGGAATAGGCCACGTTTGATATATCAATATTCTAACATGGCTTCGAGGCTTTCAGGACAAAATTGCAATTTTTTTAAAGTTTCTTTTGTCCCTCAACTCCCAAATGAGACTTGGATACAAAGAAGACACCACCAAATATAGAAATTTGTCCCGAAAGCCTCGGAGCCATGTTGGAATATTGATATATCGAACGTGGCCTATTCAAAGGTATAAAGACTTTCTACCGGGTTTGAGTTAAACTGATTTTTGGAATCGCCTGGCATTTCCAAAGAAACATGGAGCAATACTCTCAACAGGTTTGAAGAAGGTTTTCCGTCGAAAATCTTTGAAAATATGTTTGACTGCCGTTCATTTAGTCAACTTAAGGCTGTTTAGGGTTAATTCTTGTTTGTGGAAACTCTACCCCTTTAGAAGGAATTCGAACGATAATGTTTCTATTGGTTTCAAAAGAATGTTCAGAAACGTCAGATATAAACGAACCAGTAAGCAACGCAAATTCGTCACTTAATGTGTGAACGAAACATAGACAACTCAGCTATATATTTAGGCCATTTTCGATTTATTAAAATTCGGAGCTGACTCCGAGGCTTAGGGGATTAAAACAAAAGAAATCACATGGGGAGGCGTGAATAGTTAATTTCTTTTGTTTTATTCCCCCAAGTCTCGGAGCCAAGTTAGAATTTTCATCATGGTATCAAAATTGGCGTAGTCAATCGTGGCAAAATAGAATCATGATAAAGGAAGACAAACTGTTCCTAATTGGGAAAAGAAAAATGCGGAAGTGCTTGTACAAGCCCTAATAACTTTCACTTTAATTTCATTTAAAGCCGTTTAACTGAAGGTCGACCCTCGGGAAAAATTTAAATATATGTACAGGGTACAAGTTAAGAAACCGAAAACCGGTCAAAGTCAGTTGCTGGACGAAATAAAGAAGGCTTGCAGTGCTTTCTTTGAGGAGAACACACAGGTTTATTTTGCTCCTATGGGACAAGACCTTATCTCAGCCTGAGGGAAGGGGAGCCTTGCTTTGTTTTCTTAAAACTTGCAGATCGAGCATTTATGTTTTATCCAGATTTCCCACCTTTTCACATGCGGAAGTGGCTCTCTAAGCGCGATATCCTTGAAGGATATAATGGAATGTAAGGTAATACAACATTCATTTTGGAAGCCTCTGCTCACGGGCATGTATCCTCTGTCATGTAAAATAATACATATATGACATGTATATTAATATACATGGCATGCCATAGAAAATACAGCCAATCAAAACACAGGAAAGCGCTGTATACTCGACGGTATCACAATTTCCCCATCGTGCGATGCGCCTATGTCGTGTTGATTGTGTTCAGCCGCCGCATTTACTATGGGATGCTATCAAAAGGTTC